CCGTTTCATTTTGCTCTGGGAGGAGCAGAGAATAATTTTAGCTACAGAACAAGCATGGTGCAGACGCTCCCGGAACTGTGTAACAAAATCAAGTACATTGGTTTGATGGGCTGCACCTGCTGACAAGAATTGTTCTTTCAGCACTTTCAATGGTCCACGTACGCTATGGCCAAACACCAGTTCAGCTGGGCTGAAACCAAGAGACTCCTGCTTTGCTTCACGGGCAGCAAAAAGTAAGAAAGGCAGACCATCATCCCAATCTTTCTCAGTCTCAAGGCAGTATTTACTCATCATTGCTTTCAGGGTCTGATGCCATCGGTCTAGCGCACCTTGTGACTGTGGATGGTATGGACTGGAGACAACATGCTCAATACCCAAGGACTGTAAAGTGCTGTTAAATACTTTGGACTGAAAATTGATGCCGCAATCAGTTTGCACCACTCTGGGGAGACCAAAGGTTGTGAAGAATTTTAGCAAGGCTTTGGTTACCACCGGAGCCGTGATCTTGTGGAGAGGGATAGCCTCAGGGAAACGGGTAGCAGAACACATCAGGGTGAGTAGGAACTGATTATCAGACTTTGACTTGGGTAATGGTCCAACACAATCAACGATTATATGCTCAAAAGGTTCACCAACAGCAGGTATGGGTTTGAGAGGAACAGGTGGTACCACTTGATTAGGCTTACCACCAATTTGGCAAACTCTACAAGTTCTACAGAACTTTGCTACGTCAGCCTTGAGACCTGACCAGAAAAAATGCTGGATGATATGGTCATAGGTTTTTGTAACCCCTAAGTGACCAGACCATGGATGTTCATGTGCTAGTTGCAAAACCTTTTGTCTGTACATAATGGGAACAACTACTTGGTTCACAGTACCCCAATCTTCATCCATTCCCTCGTCTTTTAACAGAGGCCGTGAAACCCATCTTCGCATCAAGATCCCATCTTCTGTATAGAATGACTGTCTCATGTTCTCACTTGTTACCTCCGTCACTCTCCCGAAATATTTAGCAAGACTAGCATCAGCTTTCTGAGCGTCAATCAGAGACTCGCGTGTCACAGGCAATGGTGACAAACTCACTGTGGGAGTAGTTAGGTCCTCTTCAGGAGGTGTAGACTCCCGACGATCAACGGGGGGCAGCTTGTCTTCGGCAAAGGCATGTTCAAGTATGGAGTCGGCCAGGTTGGTTTCCTCTTTCTGTTTACGAGCCTGTGATCTGGTGAGGACACTGACAGAAAACACGTCAGGATGACTTTTCAACACTTCATCCTCATCTGGACTAGTAACAGGGATATCCACCACTTCAGGAGTAGGTAGTACCTTATCCCCAGCTATATCATTTCCCATAATGAAGTCAATCCCTTTTATAGGAAATGAGTAGTGTGCAGCAACATCAAAGAACCCAGAGATTAGCTTGGACTGGACATGAACACGATGAAGTGGGGCAGGCACGTAGCCCATCTCAATGCCCCGTACTATTGCACTAGCCTCACAGGAGGTCTCAGTGCCGAGAGGCAGAAGATCAGCGAGAATGAAAGACTGCGAGCCACCAGTGTCTCAGTATCCTCGCCGGCCTCTGGTCTTCCACAACTCCTGTCACTGACACGAATCCATCAAAAATAGATGGCTTGAAACATTCATCAGGTTCTTCAGGCATACCAAGCGTTACCGGGGAGTTGGAAAGATTAACCGTTTTGATTAAACCAATACCCTTGGCTTGCATTACTTGTCGAGGCTGATGTTTGCGTTTGAGAGTCAGACACTCAGTGATGACATGCCCAGTTCTGTGACAGTAGGAACACCGCTTGTCTGACGTATAACTTACAGGGGCCTCTTTTGCCCGCTGATAGTGTGAGTCAGCATTTCTTACAATTGTCTCATGGGAAGATGTTTCACGCTTGCCCACAAAGATGCTCTTGTGTGTCAATGCGAACTCTTCTGCCAGGACGGCAGCTTCCTGCAAGGTAGATGTTTTCTGTTCATTCAAATAAACCATGGTCCGCTCTGGAACACAGTCCCGAAATTCTTCCAGCAACACTAATTCACTTAGTGAACTGAAGTCAGTTGCTTTGCTTGCTACGCACCATCTATCAAAAACTATCCCTTTTTCTCTAGCAAACTCAACAAAGGTTTGAGAGGAAGGTTTCCTCATGCTACGAAAGCGTTGTCTGTACGCTTCAGGTACCAGCTCATAAGTCCTAAGTATGGCATTTTTAACTTTTTCATACCCAAGGCTGTCCTCAATAGAAAGGGCGGCAACACGCCTCTTGTGCCTTACCAACCAACTTGCATTGCAGTAGAAGAGGCCATACATCCTTGGGCCAATGCAAAGCAGCAGCAATCCGTTCAAATGCACTGAAATAAGCTTCTACTTCAGTTTCCCGGAATGGAGGGACCAGAGCGATGTTTTTGCTAACATCGAATGCCGAAGGAGAAAATACAGCTGAAGGGTCATTAGCATTCTTTTGAGCCTCCAACTCAAGCTGGCGGATTTTAATAGCAGTGTCGGCATCAAGCTTACGGCAGTTTAACTGGAATTCTAGCTCCTCTTTACGTGCTTTTTCTTTTGCTTCAAATTTAAGACGAACTAAGCGCACCTTTAAACGGGCACCTACACTAGACAAAGGAGAAGAATCAAGAGACAATGGATCAAACCGTGACAAAGAGAGCGGTGGTTTTTCCTCACGTGGCCTAGCCGCATGGAGAGGACTTATCAGATCCTCAGCAAATGCCTTCCCTGTAGCAACTGCCTCAGGATCATCTGCTGGGGTCTGTTGCTCAGGACCTGCTAGAAGAAACACACCTTTTTCCGCCAAGCCATTCCGAATAATAGACTTTAACTCCTGCTTAATCCAAGACCTAGATACAGCAATCTCATAATGTGCAGCAATTAAACATAAGTCATCTTTCTTACAACTGTCGAACTGTTTCAAAGTAGGATTATTCAAAAACCATTCCAAACTAAACGGAGCCATATCCCGGACAAGCCCCCACTTATGTTACGGCCTATATAGTGTGCCTAGGGGTACACAGGAAGTAACATAGAAGGTGATAGAAAACCTTGGCAAAAGCTTACCAAAAATCCAAGGGGATACGGCAGTGGCAATTAGACACATTTATCAACATTATGGATGAACAGAAGCAAACTAACTAAATAAGGAAGCGTAGGCGTCAGGGTCTCTAAGGCCAACATAATAAACAAAATCCCCATGCTAACTGGAAAAGAAGAGATCAGCTGAACTACGAACAAACAAAACACAATACTGAACTCCCCAACTAGTCAAAAGCAGGCGAAAACTTTATCAAAATAAAAGGCAGAGAACCCCTACAACGAGGGCCGGGAACACTGGTTTGGGGGTTTATATGCAGCTCCACTGACGACATAAGGACTCTCAGGTGTGGGTGCTTCAGTGATCGTCAGGGGGCGTGGCAGAGCAGACCTGAAAGACAGACAGAGCTCTCCACTAGAAAAGAGGCATCGTTAAGTCAGGGGGCGTAACATCTGGTCCTGTAGTCCTCCGTCCTTCTCATCTGGTCCGCATCGTTTCCTGGTTTAATTACGCCTGTTTGTCCTGACGTTCGCTCCTAAGCGTTCCGTATGGTTACCACGGTGCACAACTTAAGCATATATTTTATTATTATTCAACATACTATACAATGACTTTTTTCGACAACCAACACAAAGACTTTTTGGATGGCTTTTTTTGACTTACTACAGTAGTCTACGAGTTTTTAATGTCTTATTGCGACACACAATACTATAACTTTTTTTTACATATTTCGACATGTTATACTATGACTTTTTTTTACATATTTCGACATGTTATACTATGACTTTTTTATGACTTATTTTGACATACAATTGCTTTTTTACGACTTTTTTCAACATGCTATCCTCTGACTTTTTTATAACTTTTCTTCGACATGCTATACTATGACTTCATTATGACTTATTTCGACATGCGATATAATGTCTTTTTTCATGACTTTTTTGACCTATATTATGAATTATTTACGGACTTCTTCCGGAATGCTTAGACTTTTTTATGCTTTTATTCAACATGCTATACTGTGACTTTTCGACATTCTATACTATGACTATTTTATGACTTTTTTAAATTTACTATAGTATGAATTTTTTGACTTACTATTACATGACATTTTTGGACATATGATTATGACTTTTTGTGACTTTTTTGATATGCTATAATATTACTATGACTATTTTTGACATACTATGACTTTTTATTGACTTTTTCGACACACATAACTATGACTTTTTTTACTTATTTCGAAATACTAGATGGTTTGATATCATAGTTTATGCAAACTATGACCAGGGGAAAAATAAGGAAACAGGTGGAGGAGGACAAGGACCATCTGATCTTCCAGCCAGAGATGAGGGACTCGCTGCAATTATTGGACAAACAGACAGGACTTTCACCCAGAGGTAACTTATTTCACAATTGTATTTGGGTTGTAGTTAATAGTTAGAAGCTTTATTCTTAACCATTTGATTTCTGCATCATCATCAACATCCTTCTGTTATTTCTATTCTTCGGCACAGTTGCAAATAAAGATCAGCCTACACTAATATTATTAGGACTGTGCGAAATAAAATAAAAATAAAAGAGTTTTTAATATTGTTGTCAATTGAAGCCTTTGTTAATTAATGTAGTTTTAATAAGATATGCATTTATTTAAAAGGTGTGTGTTAACATTAAGACAGCCAGCCAGGCATTCATCATTTGTGCATATGCATGGTCACAGGCAGTTCTAAATTTGTTCGCAGAGTTTGAAAAAATTCAAGTAGGAAAATATTGATAAATCACGGATTTTACCATAACTCATTTGCACGTTTAGGCAGAGAGTTTGTATATGAGTCCCAATTACTTTTTAAGGATTTCCAATTCCCTCAATTTCAAAAACCTAACACGGCACAGTTTGAGCCACATATCAAGGTAAACACACTGAGAATATTCAGAAGGACAACTAGCAGGATTTACAGAATTTATGTTTGCATATTAGGCAGTACAGTTCCTCTTCTGTCTGATGAACAGAGCTGTTTTTGTCCTCTCTGTTCTTCACGTTCTTTTCCACAGAGCGGAGGTCCAGAATGAGGAGGGAATGGTGTCGTTGTCTCTGGAAAGCCACAGACGGTGATCCCTGGTGACGATAGAGATCTAATTGTAGTCTTCTGCTGAGCCTTAGAGTCCTTCACGTCATCTGCAGCTTTTGAATAATGATGCATTTGCAAAGTACATTTGCTCAGCTTGAATTCAACCCGAGACCTGGGATTCTTATTCCTAACAGTCTGCATGCTTTTACAGGTGTGATGTAAATGTGAAGGTCCCTGCACTGATGGAGAGTTTTGATGGAAAAGTGAGCGGGCGGTGGAGGTGGTGGGACACTGGCCAGACTTTGAACTACCTCTTCCTTCCACACTTGCTGAGACATTCACACTATCAAGAGATGATGAAGCCACAATTGTGCCCTCTGTCCCTGACTTACATCTTTTGGGTTCAGTCTTTTTGATGCCTTTCTGATTGAATTCACTGTCTGTGTTGTAAAGCAGCACAAAGTCCCTCTGACTGGCCAAAGGAAGAATCCTCTGATTGAGACGAAACTTGTTGAAGATCTCCAGAGTTAAATCTAAAGCATGAAGGAGGGACAGCAGACAAAAACATGTTGGGTGGTATCACACATCAGCCTGTTGAGCAAAAACATGATTGTACCATGCATGCAGTGAAACAAGGTGACATTTTTTTGGGGAGCGTGGTGTTAAATTGATTTAACTTAAACATCTACCTGAAATTGAACAAAAAATGAACTTATGTACATAAATGTAATAACATTAGCTCACCCAGCAACTCCACAACAGTGCTGGGTATCACCTCCTTCAGCACTTCACAATTTGTATGGAGAGCTGGATTACAGTTCATCTCCAACAGCCAGACCTATTATAGACATGAAGACATGTTTAGTCCAAAAACATGCACATTAACACACATGTTGAACACTGACAGCCATCCCGATATTCAGCGACGTATCACCCACCTTGAAGTCCTCATCGACCATAAAGTCGCAGCCAATCAAGTCAAAGAAGCCCAGTCGGCAGTCAAACTTGGATTTGACTGCCAAGAAACAGTGGGTCATTATCTGCTGCATGCGCTTCTGATGCATGGGAAGGAAAAACAACCAGACGGTCAAATGATGCTTGAGAGTGACCAAAAGTGTAGCAATTCCTTCAGCACCCATTTTGGATGTCTGCAGCTCTTAATGACAAAAATCTTAATTTTTCATTCAATAATCCCATACATCATATATACATGATATTCGACCACTGCATTTAACCCATCCTAAGCATGTCAGAGCAACGGGCTGCTGCCAGGGAGTTCAGTGTCTCTCTCAATGGCACTTTAACATGCAGACAGGAAGCGCTGGGGATCGAACCGTGAACCTTGAGGTTAGAGGACTATCTTATAGTCTTCAGTTTACGTCTGCCATCTGTGTCTTTGTGCCACTAACCATCCCTGTATGCTGGGCTGTCGCTGTAGGTTTTTGCTTGCGTGTTTACATGGTGAACCGTTGTTTGTAAACAAAGGAGCATGCACATAGCTCTGGTGGGCAAAAAAGCATCATTCTCCTCACACAGAATATAGCACTAGCATAGCAGCTATGATCAGTCATGGCGAGCTGTCATGCTCCACAGATTGACATGAATGAACTGATCAAAAAAAAAGGGCGAAACAATTTTGAAGCTATGCCATAAAACTTCAAACTGATGCAAGACTTTATTAGGCTTAAATTGTTGACTGCAGCATTGGGAGGGAAAGCTCACTCCGGTACGTCGTATATTTTAATGAGAAGACGTCTGACAGTCACTGAACAACAAGCAATTTTGAAAGCTCAGGTTTGTTTAAAATGCAATTGGACATGTCCGCAATGTATTGACGTACTATTTAATGGGGTCTAATGCTGACATACAGCAAACTAACATTAGTCTTCACAAGGACGGGGAGACAACAGGATTAGCTTTATAAATCAATGATGTTTATTGAGATTATTTAATAAATCTGACTACAATGTAACTTATCTTTTATACTGTCTTACCTGAATGATAAGCTACTGTAAATTCAACTCATCACTCTTAAATGATATGATGCTAAAAGCCATTATGTGTACAATTGGTATGTCATTTAACATCTTTCAAGTAATTCTAATGGCATACGCTTTTCAGTTCTACATAGGTGACTTTAATAACAGATTCTATTTATTTTTTTTCGAGAAGTGTGCCCAGTATGACAGTTCTCAGTTGGACCTGTATATAGACTTAAACTTGTGATTCAATAGCAGGTTTCTGTTCCTCCAAACAGCCACATTCGTGGTTTGTTGTATACACTTCAATGTGTAACTATAACCCATTAAAGGTTTGAGGTTTCTCTCCAACAGGAGCAAACTAAATATAATTAAAATGTGTACATTGTACCATTTGTTGTACGGTAATAAGATGATGTATGCTCAGACAGGAGTGAGGTCATCCGAGCCTAACCCCAATCTCAATTAGCTGCAAGCGCCAACAACCATCATTATATTGGTAATTGGTCCCCGAGAGCTACAACACACCGCAGTACTCACTGCAAAGGCGCCCAGCACCCAGTCCCTGGGCAGACCCTTGGCAACCCGAAACCTGTCGTTGACGTAGGTGTTGAAGCTCTCCATGGACCAGACAGTGTCCTCCTTCAGCTGGCTGTACAGAGGGTTCTTCTTCTGCATGCACTGGAGGTGGACAGCAGGGGGGACCAGAGACACATGAAGCAGTCAGCAAGAGCACAGGGCCAGTTGATGCCACAGCTAAATGCTTGATCTATTCAACCTCTCTGTAAATAATGGAGGATGCAAAGAAGGATGGGATGCAAATACCTCTCTAGTATTATCATGAAGGATTTTGACCTTTTTAATTTGTGTTAAATGGAAGTTTACATGGCATGTGTGTGAATTACTGACAGAATGCCTTTAAACTCCATAAATGAACAGTGATTTCAGTTCCCTGTTCTTTTCATTCGATGCAGGCATACCAGTGATTGAAATGCAGGGTTGTGGTTTGACCCCAGACCACTTTATCGTTGCAATTATGTCTGCGTAGAATAAAAAGAATGAAATAAACGAGCAGTGTGTGGGGATTGTTCAGCTTTTCACTCAAGATAATTATCACACAGCAACTGCAAAGAAGGGGATATCTTCCAAAGTTTGTAAAAATATCTACTTGTTATCTCTAATTCAGACTGATGAATTTCATGAGCTTTAGATAAATGTTGGAATACATTTTTGCACAGCTTTCACTTACTTAAGCACATTTAAAGGCCAGTATGAACAGAAGGTGTGATTACAGCAAGTAGAATGTGGGCACGACTCCTATTTTAAGACAAAAAAATGGTAACCTCTGACCTGCTAGTTAACCCTGAATATGTTTGGCAGAGTTCGGACAGGATTGAGCTGTACCTGATTTGTCAGGTGGGCATACAGGTTGTTGGAGCTGGGGTCGTAGAGGTCACAGGTCAGTCGCACATATCCATGGCGAAAGAAGACCATGTAAGGTGCAGTGCAGGCGATCAGAAGGTAAGAGCGCACGTCAAACTTTTTCCCTTTCAGCAGCAGCGGCCTCTGGATGTAACTGAGGGAAAAATGTCAGTTTACCTCCAATTTCAACAGCCACATCAACGTTTCCATAGGAAACACGTTGTCTATTTGGAGAAATAACATATGACATGATATTAATTCTAACAACCCTATAGTTACGTATGTTCACCCACTGTTGGACGATGCGAGCCTGAGGCTGACGGTGGAGCATCTTCCCGTTGGCCTGGCTGTCTTCCGTGTGCTGCAGCTTCAGTCTGAAGGCGGCTACGTCCTCCTGGCTCTTCATCAGAAAGATCCCTCTGCCTTGGTTCAGACCCGTGGGCTTACAGATCCACATGTGACTCTCATTGTTGCTCACACCTGGTAACAGTCATAAAGGTACATCAGGTAAATCAACAATTTATGACATATACATATATAAAGTCCCTCTCTGTTTAGAGAAAGCGTGAAGGAGACTTGTCACGTCTGCACTGCTCTGTATTTTTCTGTGGTGTTCTGTGGTGTTCTGTGGTGTTCTGTTATATAGTTTTTCTATTGTTGTGTCTTTCTTTTCTGTGTAGTTTAATAACTTCTTTATTTCATGAATGACAAAGAGCGCTGTTTCTGAAATCTTAAGGACACCATGTGCGCTCTCTGACACTTTATTTGAATGTTCCAATCCAAATAAATGTAATTAAAAATCCCACATGTGTAAATTAACGTTGTGCAGCAGTGGAAAGTTACTACAACATTTAAATTCTGCTTACATGTTGATACATCAGTTGTAATAAAACACTATATGTATAATATAACTCTGACAGAGGCTATTATACCGCCTAATCTGAGTACTTTTTCAGCTATCCTTATGAGAGCAGGACTTGTATTTATAATGAAGTATTTTGCTTTTAACCAATTATCAATATTTCTTCCACCACTGACACAGATGATGCTTTTTCAGACAGATTTCACACACAGCGTATTCAGTTTTTTGTGTTCTGATCTGTTCTTTGCTCTTGTCTTATTTTCCACTGATTTATCCGTCACCCAGAGATCTAAACCAGCTGTCTGTGTCTTTCTCCTGTTTACATAGTGATAACCATGTTTGTCATAACCTGCACATCACTTATCATAATGCTGTGTGCCTGGTCAGTACTGCAAACAATACAGAAACCAGGGGTTCATGTTCTCTCCGGTCCTAAAAATCTTTTCAGTTTTAATATTAAATTATTTTTTTCTGCCTCAGTCCTGAAGCAGATCCACATCCACATCCAGTCGAGCATCTCCGCTTGTGTTTGTGTCTCAGCCCTGCCCTCTGCTGACTCGTCTCTATGGCAACAGCATGTTCCCCTGGTGATATAATCGGGGCCTTATGGGAGGTGAAGTGCATTATTTTCCAACATCCTCAGCCTCTTGATTAAACAATCACCAGGGCAACTGTTGTCTTAACACCGCCAAGCACAAACTATTCTTTCTCGCATTGCCGGATGAATGACGAGTCAAGTTGGATTAATCTCATGTTAAAAATGGAGCCTTCTAAATAAACACAAATCCAGTTAAACCAGCGTTGTGTTGTTATTGCATCAGGATGCTACTGATGTCGTACTACTGTACTAGAGGTTGATGTAGGGGGGGGGGGGGTTTGGGCATTTTACCCTCCTGCTGGGCAAAGAAAGCCTCCCTCTCTTCCCTCACATCCATGCGGAAAGTAGTGGGAATAAACTCCTCCATTTTCAGCCTCCTGTGAGGTACAAAAAAGGAAAAATGGGGCACAAATGAATGGTTGTGTGTCTTCAGCTGTTTAAACCTTCCGTTAGAGCAGGAAGTATTAGCAATCAGAATTATGAAAACAAATTTCATATATTGACAATCAAAAGAGGTGCTGGAGCATTGTAACATATCTTGGCACGTTTCGGCCACCAGCTAAACCATTAACAAGAATATGTATTGCCGTGTGAGCGTACATGTTTGTCCTAGTAATAATAATAAATAATAATACATTTTATTTATATAGCACTTTAAAAGGCACTCAAAGACACTTTACATGGTAAAAACAGAAACAATAAAAGCATTTATAATAAGAACAAAATCTATGACATCATAACAGTAAGAAAGAAAATAAAAAAACACGAAAAGAAAGAAAGAAAACATACATGACTGACTTTAGAGGTTAAAGTATAGTACATGCACATGACATACAAACATGCGTGCATGCACATTTAGTGATCAAAACCTCCACAGCGTACGCAGGAATCTGGATGGTTACTATTAGACTGTACTTTATGATTAAATGGTTTGTCTGAATTTTTAACATCTTATTTTGTAAAAGAAATACTTTGATATGTTGGACTTTTTTTTCTTTCACCAGATATTTCACGTGCTGGTTAAAATATTTAGGTTGGGAAACTTATATCAATAACTGTAGTTTATGTAACTGACACACATAACGCTTCATACCAAGCTCGTGTGATTCCGACTGGAGGCCTGATTTCTGATGAGGCCGGTTGGCCGTGTTTATTAAATAGTGTCATGGGCTGATGTGTCTTTTAATCAGTATTTGCAGGGCCGGGCCTCTGTTGAACCTCCATGATGGTACCAGATTGTTGCTAGGAGATTGTGACACAACTATGTATTTTGTAAAGGAAATAGCTGTTATATCTCTCTGTTTTTGATACATACAACCTGAGTCCTCGACCGTGATTCACTTTGCTGCTGACTCGCTCATACTCCCGCAGACTGCTGAGGAGGCCGATCTTAGTGGTGAGCACCTTGTTGTTGGGAATCTGGTACACCAGCTGTTCACCTGGGAACGACACATGCAGATTTTGAGTTGTCTTTCAGAGAATGGATGGCAATAAACATCTTTTCTACTAATAGAAAGGTAGCATTGTGGTACTTTTTCACAGTAAAATACAGCATTTAGAGTCTGTTTTGTAATCATCATAGCACTGGACCTTCTCTGAAGTTACGGTAGTTGGCTGGTGATTTGGTCTCACACCACTTGAGTTTAAAATCCTCCCTGTCCTTGTGGTAAATCCTCTTCCATCCTCTGCTCTCACAGTAACAGCTCACTCTAAAGGAAAAGTCCCAAAAGAAACCAATCACACTTCTCCTGCTTTAATCGCACAACAATCCAGATGTCAGGGCTAAAACTAGGGTTTGAATAATAGGGGACCCAAAACAAAAGATACAGCTGGTGAATAACGTTTTTTGATAGCATGAAAGTAAATATCTAATTTGAAATCCTCACTTTTCTTAAACTTTTTATTCTTAAATTAAACTTAAATTGCTATGTGATCACATTTTTGAAATATCTACAATCCAACGGATTATTGGTCCTTTATTATATATTTCTCTACATACATTTCAGCCCCATTGGCTCCTCCAAAGAAGTAGAAAGGCCCAGGACCCCGTGGCTCCTCTGCCTGCCGCTGCCGTTCCCCGTCTGGGTAGGAGCAGGTCGGCAAGCCCCTGGGGAAGGACCTCCGAATGTATCGCTTCACCAGGCCTGCACCTTATACGTTTGCATACACATAAATCATACATGCACACGTCACTCCTACTCAGACAAACACATAAGTTCTATCACTATGTACATGGAAATCATGTTGATGAATTGTATTTTGTAATGCTGAAGGATCAACATATGGCAAGAATAACAAATTGCATCACACTTGACGTCCCACCTTCTCCCACACACACCTGACCCTCTATCCTGGCTTTCCTGGTTGACAGACATGTCGGAAAACACCTCTCTCGCTTTCTGAGTCCGTGTCTCCTCTCTCTGGACCTGCTCTAGTCCACTTTCTGATGTTGCTTCTTGCATGCCACTATGGTCAGGTGACGAGGGCTGTTTTCCTTCTGGCTCCTCCTGCCCCAAACTTCCTGCAGGCTGGTTGTCCCCACAGGGAACCTCCACTTCCTCCTTCTCTGCTTCGTCCCCTTGTTGCTTCTCCAACCCGGTCTCCTCTGCCTGGACGTCACTGCAGGGCTCCATCAAGCAATCAGATGACATCTCCTTGTGCTGGTGCAGATTGCTAATGATGACTGAAAATGTTCCAACATGGGAGGACACCTTTTTGGTGTGCAGTGACACTGTAGTCAGAAAGAGAGACCAGGAATGAGATGTTTGTCATTGTTAGACAGAGATCACTGATGACTTGGTGAAGGAAAAAAGGAAAAGAAAAAGAGAACCAATTTACTCTTCATTAATAGTACCGTATGTCTGGTAGGGTCACAAAATATTATTTTACTTAGCCACGCTAACATCACACCTCTAGGGATGGCTGTGTCTGTCGGTCGGTCTTCCACTTTGGTTCAGACGGAAGTATCTCAACAACTATTGGATCAGTTGCGATGAAATGTTTTACATCATTCCTAAAGACTTTCCTCTGTTGCCGTCGCAGCCCATCGTTTTCACTTATCCAGTGAAATATCTCAACACGTATTAGGTGAATTGGCACAAAATCCCTCAACAACTATAATACAGATTTTTATCTCCTCAGTAATCATTTTGCAAACCCTTTAACTTTCCATCTAGTGCCATCATCGGGTTGAACATTTTAATTTGTCCAAAACTTTGACAGAAAAAAACTGCAAAAATAATGACATTACCACCATCCTCAGCTATACTTTGTGTTTGGGCTGATTAGCAAATGTTAAACAAGCTTAATGTGCTTGCTAAACATCAGCATGTTAATATTGTCATTGTGAGCATGTTAGCATGCTGATGTTAGCATTTAGCCGTACTTAAGTACAGCCTCACAGAGGCGCTATAGCATGGCTGTGGACACTTGTTGATTATTATGAACGCTAAGCAGCCTGCCATGTAAATTATCATGGATATTTGATGGTCATTAGAGGATTATTCCAAATTATTGTGGTGACCACCTGAGCTTTTGTGTAACTATGCACTTGACCTTGTATTTGGCCCATGGATATTTATAGTTCCCAGAGTGGTGATCCGTTTACTTGAGCAACACCGTCGGACTGAAATAATAAAATCTGACAGACAGATTGCTGTGAAATTTGCACTTTCATGGTCCCATTGTAATGTAATGAACCCATTACTTTTCCTCTAGCACCACCATCAGAACAAACATTAAATGTTAAGGCACACCACGGATAAAGCAATCTTAATCTGATAGGTGGGGGTTTTCAAAGACAAACATATTTAGACTATTCTATAAATAATCTTCTTTTTTTGTTTTTTTTTGTTCACTTCCTTAACTGAGACTACCCTGAAATAGTTTGGAGCTGTGGAGGTCACATTAATATCACATATGGCAAAAAAGAAGTGTGAAGAAAATGTGCTATCTCAAAATAAATGTGCTGTTTTGTTTTATAAGACAAGAGCTGAACTCTGACCTGATTGTAGCAACATTTAGAAGCAAAAGGGTTTTACCTGCAACTCCAGCGTCAGTCGCAAGGACGGCCAGACTCCATAAAAACCTACTCAGCCTGTTCCTCTTCTGCCATGTGCGCTCAACCCTGCAGTCCAATGGCAAGGCCGAGACAAACAGCAAACCCAAAGACTGAAGGACAGACTTAACAGAGGTGAAATCACATGGTGTGTCAGCAGTTTAACGCACTGTCACACTGCCCGGTTACTCCGGTAATGGGACCCTCAGCAACAGTTGCCGCTTGCAGATTGAAACAACAGCAGCTCAAGAAAAACTAACTGCTCAAGATTATGTATCCCACACCTACCCCACCTCTAAGTTTAGCGTCATTCAATATTGATCGCCCGTTAGCCTCTGTTGTGTGAACCCTGTGGTAACATGAGAGCAGAGTGTCAATCAAAATGGATTTGCCAGGGTATTATATCCTGACACCAAAGGCAGAATAATCATTTCTACAGCCTCTGTGACACACAAAAAGAGTAATAAAAAAAAAAGTGATAATTCTGTCAAGGTTTCATATGCTAATGTGGAAGTGTAGTATGGTATTATTAGCACAGTATCTCTAGATCAACCTTCAAACCTTTTATATATATAACTTGTGCTGTTAGTTAACCTTAGCATTTGATTAAACCTAAAGCCCCTAGGCCTAGACCTTATCATACATATTACATCTATTGTGAACATCAGTTTAATTTAACTCATCCAGCTGAATCATTGTTGGAATCATTATTTATGGCATGACATGATCATGAATCATATTGTCTAGAGCCAAATCCAGTGGCAGGTATGCAGTTGAGCAACATAATATTTGTCTGCTCGCATTGGCAAATCCACTTATCACTTATTCTGTCTCAGTAATTTGACTGGGGAGGAAACACCCAGGCCAAGTCACGGTTGACAATTATGCATAATCTCCTTTCTTCCTCCCAACAGTCTGATAATTTACAGGGGTGGATGCCTCTTAGACCCAGCATCCATGCAACCGTATAATTACACATACAGTAGGGTAACCAGGAGTGACGCAAACACCCTGTAGGTTAGGCGCGCATTTATATTATGTTATGTTTAGAATGTATGTCGAACATTTCAAGCAAATTCTGCAGTGTTTTAGCAGATGAGAACTTAACTGAGTCAACAATTAAATGGGGAACGGCCTCCAAAAATGTGTTAAGTGCAAGGGTTTATGGGTATAAAACGAACAATCACAAAGTCAACCTTTCCTCCACAGTTCATATCACCGAAATGCAAACTGTAGGTGTCATCACACCTATGGTATGGGCCATAGTATGGGCCGTTACACATTTCCCGCATGACTAACTTTACAACAAGGATGCAGCAGTCACCAGACAGTCGTGTCAGTTCAGTCATTTACACACACTGCAAAATGGCAGCTACACGAGAGCACTGCTTGGCAATGATGCGAGTGCAGCCACAGCACCCCAGTTATTAGAAGCGGGCCTCCCATATTCCTGTTTAACAGAGCTTTGTGTGGAGCCAGTGTCAGCCACACCTTGATAAAGAGCCGCCATCTGATAGACACACTGTGCAAAGGGCTGCGTAGGTGGACAAAGAGAACAGGCTTGTTTTACAACCCTGTCGACCTCATGGTTCACCATCTGCCAAGAGTCTTTGTGCGTGTGTGTGTGTGTGTGTATTAGAATAGGTGTATAAGCTTGTGTATTTTGTGTGGCTATCTGCATGTTCCCTTTTTTTGTATTAACATATTTCACGATTCAAATGTTAATGAATACCTTTCCTATTTAGATTTCATCTCCGTCCGTCCATCGAACAGTGTGTGCAAATGTGCGACACTTTTTTACCTGAACCTAACTTTTCCTTTCCTTGAGTTTCTGCAGTGGAACTCTTCTCATTGTCTGTTCAACCATGGCAACTACCACTGCGTATGCTAACAGGCCTGTTCTCCTATTTACTACAAACAAACCACACACATAAAAAAGAACATCACTACATCACTCCTCCAAATCGTGGATTGTTTCCCAAGAAAAGACGGTGGGTTAAAATGTGTATGTGTTTTCAAAAACAGAATAATGTGTTAAAAATATATATTGAGCTATATGAAAATAAAACTAATGAAAATCAATATATATATATACAGTATCTTTAGATGAGAACTATGTCCAATGTTGAATACACTTATTGTAAGCCGCTTTGGATAAAAGCGTCTTCTAAATGACTGTAATGTAATGTAATGTAACTATGTGTGTGTGTGTGTGTGTGTGTGTGTGTGTGTGTGTGTGTGTGTGTGTGTGTGTGTGTGTGTCTCAGGGCGGTTACACCATAAAGTGTGTGTGTCTTTCAAAGACTCGCCCAATCCCATGTCATCTCAACTGCCTTCTGTACCAGGAAGTGCTCAGCAATTACAGGGATGCAGCCTGCAGCAATGGTGTCCCTACACAACCCATTATTTGGAGATATTCTCCTTGTCAAGGTGTTGTAGTGGAGGGAATGGAGTTAAGTTTCGATGTAAAGAAAGGCTCGTCTCAATAGGGTCTCTCTGTCTCCTGCTATTCATGTTTTCCTTACAGAATTACACCAGGAAAGGGGGCTGGGTTAGTGGGGCGGGGTGACATTTTGTTCCCAGGGTTTGTATTCACTCATTCCCACTGGTGATAAATGCAAGTTGAAGACACAAATACATGGAATTTCACCAAGACAGGCTTTAACATGAGGCCATATGCACATTTGCCTCATATTAACAGATATGTAAGAAATAAATAAATCAAATACATGTGGTGTGATTGTTGACTTTATACATCTGTAAGTCGGGCGTGTATCCTCCTTATAACTCCATAATGAGGTGTCTGTGTGTTTTGCAGATTGAATACCTTCAAAATCTTTTAACGCTAATGTAGCAAATCTGAGTGCTGTTGAGGGTTTACGTTTGTGACATTTTAAACCCATTGCAGTGATTAATGATCAAAAAAAGTAGCTTGACATTTGGAAAGAATGTGGTTTATGTGTTATACAATATTCAAATCACTGACGTGGCTCTTAATTAAAGCTTTCATGTACTCCATGCAGCTGTGGTATTTCACACTCATCATCATAAGGTGATGAAGGTGGAGAAAAGCTGCCTCAGTCCCACCCAGTTGAGCCTCTGTGGTAACTCAAAATGTAGAGAAACGTGTACGTGATGCTTGTGGCAACCTCCTGGATTAACGTTATTCAGTATGTTGGTTACGCCCTCCAGAGTTATGAAAAGACACAAGAGGAATACCGTTTCATTTTGAAGTGGAAAATGACTCACCGATAGCAGACTTTGGCAAGAACACGACAGAATGGGGAGAGGTGGTGGAGGCAGAAATGCTCCTGGTTTACAAAGCCTTAAAATACAGCAACTAAGTGCTTGATGCAACGAGTGCTGGTGCCAGTCAACACTCCAGAAATCAGTCAGGTGAATTCCATCAACATGTAATTACAGAGCTGGGGAGGAAAGCAATATCACTGACAAAAATGGTTAGGTATTTAAACTACTGGAGGTTTATGAGTGCTTATCTGGCAGGATATTTAGGCCTCAGTTAATGAGGTACAAGCAAAATAGGGAAATGTCTGTAATTGTAAAAATAACGGAATCACATTTTCACTTCAAATTACCACCCATTGTTCCATGATTAAAGTCATTAAATCCCATGGATTCTTTCACTGGTTAATTAACAATCAGTAGCAGGCATTGACATTTCTGTGCTTTGATTGCTGAGTGTAACTAAGATGAGTCTATTCAACTGCTGTGGAAATGTACCAGCAGTTACGAAAAGAAATGGCAGCCAACTCTGCAGAAAGACCTGCTCAAAATGAGATCAGGAGAATATTAGAAATGTATTGGCACAGTTCTAATGCCTCAAATGATACCGGTTCCTGGGAGAAGCTTCAGTGTCTCGGCCTACCAGTCTTCACGTACAATACAAAGCAAACTCACCAAGTTTGCCAAAGAAGGCTAAAGTCAAAACTACATCCGACAAGAGTTGTCTAATCAAGTGGTTGTTTATCATTTACCTCGTTGCTTTCAGCTGAAGCTAAAGTACAGCAACTTTTAGCTTAAGGCTAACAGCATAGACGGACTGCCATCTGGAGGACCAGACATTTTATATGTAAATAAAAACGTGATAACCATCCTGTGTGATTGGTTTTAGACTGGCTTGCCCACTCCACACAGGTGGGTATTGGGTAAGGTAAGTTCTTCACATCTCATTTTCTTTATCAACCAGCTTTATTTTCCTTCATTCATCTGTTCAGACACTGAGTCGACAACTCGCACATAATGTGATAGAACATAACAGCATGATAGAGGATAATATAATATAATAAGCAATTAGTGTGAAATTGGAAACCATGAGAGATTACTTATTTATTTTCATTTACATTTTCAATTGAAACATGCCACCCACATAATACCACATCAGACTGCTTTTTGCATTAAAAGTAATAAAGACGTTGATTTAATGATAATCTGTCTGAATGTATCTGAAAATTGCCAAACGGATTCTGTTCTTAGGGACTGAATAGTTGTACATACATTGCTAATATGTGTGCTGTGTCTTGACATCGAGGCTCTAATGTGATTCAAGCAGTGAAGTGATTATATATTTTGCCAGAACTGGTGTTTCTTGTTCATATGCAATACATAAAAGTGTGTTATTGGTTTCTTGAGAGCAGAATACACTGTAAGTATACAAAGCATAGATTGCAGTAGAGCTTCAAGTATTGAAAAAACTAAAATCTAACTTCAGTGTGGCAATGCTTCTGCCCTAACTGCCTGTGGAACTGCCTATAATCAGTTCCACTCCTCTATAACTGACTGCAGACTGTCAAAGGAGTTCCCCGCATGACTGTGTGGCAGCTCCTCAGAATGAATGTACGTCAGCAGAGTTGCAGGTATGTCACAGCCGTTTAGATTCTGTTGTGCTCCTGTTCCACCCCAGTGGCAAGCCCAGCTAAGTGAATCTAGCCTCCTCATCCACAGCCGGCAGTAGTGCAGGAAAGTGGTCTGACTGCACCAAGCATGCACAGACCAGTGCAGGAATCCTCTACAGGCTCTCTGCCAGTCAGGAATGTGATTCAGTAGGGTGACGTCACCAAGGGGGTGGGGGGAAACCGAATTACAGTTGCCTGTTACTGTACTGTAGTGTTTTTATTTGTATAATTCTGACACGTTTTAACTTTAGCGTCTTTATGTGCTGCAATGTAAAACATATGCTTTACAAATCAAACATTGGACCCACGGGGAGATCATTTATGGAAGGTGAAAATTATTCTTTCCAGACAGATTTTAGGTCAGATTTCTTTTGTTATAAAACAATATACAGTAATTACAGTTGATCTGCACTGTTGTTGTCAGTGTCCATCTTGGCAAGAGTAAATGCTTCACCTTATCTGATGCCAGTTAAGTAAATAAGCCATCCAGTCGGCTATGTCTACCGGCCTGTGTAAGTATAGCACTACTGAATAATGTGGATTTGTTTTATTTTACTCTTTTTATAACAGATTGTATAAATGCATTCTTATCAGAATCGTTCAGGTTAATTAATTGTAACCTATGAAGATTTTTATGGCAGCAATTCACTTTGGTTCAAAACTTGTTATTTAGTCTGAATTTTCTAGCAAAGAGATATCGCATATGTTCAAGATGGCCGCCCACCTGTTGTACGTGGGCAAATAACACACATCTTCCACTGACAAAGGACAAATACTAAACTCAAAACAGGTCTGCCCAGCATTCACACAACCAACAAAAGTATGTAATGTGTAATCATGCACATTGGATTTTGTTTAACTTGACATTATGGGTAAAGCCCAGGTGTTACTAAAAACGTTGATGATGGCTCTGTTCTACTCAAGTGTGTCAGTAAGCCATGACAGTGTGACAGTGAACAGAAACTGAATTCAGCCTTCATTCATCTTATTATCAAATGTCAAAATATCTTCAGCCTTTTAAGCATGGATACAGCTGTCTGCATCAGCAATATATTACTGACCTAAGGTCAATATGAACAAAAATACAAACATGCTTTTTATGATGTATCATTTAAACACAGACGCTCATGATAGTACATTATAGAAGCAAAAGTATATGTTTCTCTGCATTGTGGTTTCTCCTAAATAGATGCAGTCTTGAGTATTGAGATCACAGTCCTGTGAAAGGCGCCTCTGCTGTAAATGCTAGAGATTAATGATTAAGAAGGCTTTTGTCTTCCTCTCAGGATTCGTATCTTTATTTGTATAAGCTGCAACAGGAAACCATTTGAATCACCCATGATTCACAGAAATCATGATGATTAAGTACATTGGAAGGAGAAAACAGACTGGTCTAACTAAAGGTTAAGATATTCAACTTTCAATATATGTCAGGCACAATTTTCTCCACATTGTACACAAAAAAATGGGATAGAATATTTCTCGGACTAACAAACTCTTTGTTTGTGGAAAAACCGTGAATGTAAGTCTCCCCAGCATGGGAAATGAATGAGGCCTGGGGCCTGTTATATTTAACAGCTAAATGGTTTTTGTGTTTGCGTTCCAACTGATAAAATCAGAGCTGCGTTTAACCAGTCGACTGAACCCCTGAGCTAACAGGCCTAATTAAACACCATAGCCATGATATTGGCTCCGTATGTGTGTCTGTTGCTGAGAGAGGGAGATAACAGTGCTAAGAAGAAGAAAAAATACTTCCCCTGTAACTCTGTAATTGCAACCATTGTGATAATTTAGACTACGAGTATAGTTTTCAGTAGGCAAAAGCAGCCTACTGTAAGTGGCCCATGGACCTGGCAGTGAAAACACGCCTTGTGCTCCTCGGTTTATCAAGCTAGCCTACTGTGTACTGCCATAGACTGGGACACAATGAGGGCTTAGCTGATGGGGGGGACCTCATGGGTAAATTGAGGCATTTAAAAAGAAGCTCTGTTCAGCAGTAACCTGATCCACACCTGACTGGGGCTCGGCATTCCGGTCTGGCTGAAGGAAGAGTTCACAATGACCAGAGAAACTGC